GAGGCCCTCCCTGGCCCTGCGGGTGTGCGGGTCGAGGTCTTGCTGACGTTTGAGTGCGAAAGATAGTCTTTCTTTCATGAAATGATGGTGATTATAGGTAATGAATTAAAGAAATAGTGCCCCCACTGGCCCAAATGAAAGCACTGGCAACCCTGGGATGGTCCCAAAAAGGCTTGGGGGAAATTTTAGGTCCACAAAATCCAAAATACTAAAAACTCTGTCGGGTTGCAGGCACCAGGGGTTGGGATCTGGGTATTGTGGAAGAGGCTGCTGGGAAGGTGTGACCACAATTCCCCCCTCCCCGGCGCACATACGGGTACAGGCATGCACACACACAGACAAAACAACACAGAAACGCACATGCACGCAAACCACACACGTGTGCACACACACACCCATGCACGTACTCGCGGACAGACAACGTCCCGGGAACATCCTGAAGAGCCATGTGTCTGGGGCTGAGGGTGTGGAGGTTTATGGGTCCCTCCACATGTGCAGGTCCAACCACGGGGCTCTGGGCTTGGCCCCTCGAGTTTCCGGGGGCAGAAGTCACGTGGACAGGCTTTGAGAGGAAGGTGTCATGTATGCAAATTTATTCAGATGAGCGTTCAGCCACGGTCCTCTGTGGATTTGTGTACACTCACTTTTTTTAAAAAAAGAATGGTTTCCATAAAAGGTTTTTTGGTAATCACCTCATTTTTAATACAATGTTTATATACAAAAAACCCCATTTCAAACCACTTACTGTACAAGAGAAAGTAGAAGCATCAGATTGCATGACTTTAGCAAATAACAAAAATCTGCTACGCCTACGGACGTCCCCCCTAGTTGACAGCTCACAGGAATGTCAGCGTCTCACCGACCACACGTTCAAGACAGACACGTTTATCTTTTCGTCCCTCCCTTTGGTGAAACATTTCTATTATGTTTCTCTGGGTGCTTGAGAAATTTCAGATCATCGGTTAGTATAATGGCTGCAAATTGAGATCATTCTTATCGGCTATGAGATTCGTTTTCACAAGCTTTTAAAATGATAATAGTCCAACAGTAACATTCCTGTAAGTAAAAATATAGAGAAGTGTTACCAAAATAGAAGCCTTTATTAATAAAAATCTTTGGTATTAACAGTATTTTAAATTCCTCTCAATGATATTTGGTTAGCTAATAAAATAAAAGCCTTCCGCCTTTGAGCTACAGAGAAAAAACCCTTACATCCACTGTAGAATTGATTTTAAAAAAAGCCCAATAAATATTCTGAAGCTGCAAAAGTACCCCCAGAAGCCTTAAGACTTCTTGCAACCCTGAAGCCGTCTGCAGAAATGCCTCCGAGGTCATAATCCCTCACCGCCCGTTTTTCTATCGCCCTGAGGTGGGGGAAGCATGTGGCTGCTGGTGGGGACCCCAGAGGTGCCGGTCACCGCTCATTCAGGACACCTGCACCCCGCTAGTTCTCCAAGAGTAAATTCAGAGTTTCCTGGCCCTCTGAGTGGACAGAGCCAGGGCACCTCTCTTTCTGACCAGTGTCTCGGTTTCTGAATCCAGGGAAAGAAAAGGTGATGAAAAATCTCACTTTTTCAACCTAGAGACAGGTGATGTCTTTTGGAACTGGTGTCAGCATCGTTTATTCCTCATCCACTTCTCTGTTTGCCCTCAAATCTCACACCAGCTTTTGTCTAATGCCTTGGAATACCACCTCGCCTCTCTCTTAAGGCATCAGGAGGATTAAAGAAGATGTCTTCTGGGAGCTGCTTCTCACGCTAACGGCCAAGGAGACCCCAGACTCCAAGCATCGCTTCCGCAACGCGCCTGCATCTGCTGTGTATCACCCTGTCCCCAGCAATCATTCTGATTAACCTTGAATCCTAAAGATAACAGAATTCCCTGCCTAATGGTTTTGTGCAAAAACAAGAAAAAAAACAAACAAACAGAAAAAGACGGGGAAATGTTGTCCTATCAGAAGAAAGTGGTCTTCCAGGCCTGCCACAAACCCAGGAGCCACTGGACCAGGGAGCTGTGAGAAGTCGCCTGCCCCGGGAG